AGGGGGACACAAGTGATTGCCAAAGTAGGATAAAGGAATCCATTGTAATAATTACCCTTCTTTTCTAGTCAAATTTATCACTACCATTTCAGATTATATGATCTTTTTATATTAAATAATTGAAGAACCGTTCATTCTTTTCATACTGTTCTAGTTGCAAATGTAAACCTTAAACCCTAAACCCTAAAATTCTAAAATGCTGTTGCATTTTCAAACGACAAGGTAAAGAAAACTAATAAACATAATACAATTGTATAGTTGTAAAGGATTCTTAGCTTTCTCCAAGCACTTGGAGATGGAACTCAAACTCGAATATACTTGGAAAGGGGAAACACCCAGTGAATATCAAACCAAGGGTGTGTTTTGATGAGTTTCTTCTATAAAAAATTTAGAATATAATGTTCTTTTTTTCAGAAATTACTCATTTTAACTTTTAAGAATTAAAATATGTTTTGAAGCTGTTACTTCAAAAAAATTATCTAATTGTTATGTTTTAGACATATTTTTAATTAAAACAATACAATTGTTATAATAAATTAATTTTATTAAAATACTCGCTTTGTCTCATATTAAATATTATTTAAATATTTTTTTATTTATCTCAAATTTTTATTATTTTAGACTGTAAAAGAATCATAATTACTTTTTGCTAATAATACCTTTAATTATTTATTAAGAATAAATTTTGTCAGCTAATTGTAAAAATATTTTCAAAATTAATTGTAATAATTTTGACAGTGAAAATAAAAACAATTTAATAAAATTAAATTATTTCATTATAATAATTAGTAAAACTAATATTTAAAAAAAAGTGCACACTATTACATTATTTAATACGAAAAAGAAAGAAAGAAGCTTTAAATGGGTAAAGTTAATTTTCCTCTAATAAACAAATAAAACTGTAGTTAGAGAGGGTACATCATGAAAAGTTTTCCATATTAATTACTATCTGTCTTGAGACAGACAAAGCTTTTACTGATCTCAAATCTTACGTTGGTGTTGGAGTTTTTATAGTATAAAAACATCACATTCAAAAGGTTTGATGGCAATGTATAACAAATATGGTTCGCATATAGTTATTATCTACTTAATTAAAAACAAAATTCTCCTTTTTAATTTTTACTTCAAGTTCATATTAATATTTTTTTCAATCGATTGTGACAACTAAATAAATATATCTTAATTGTTTGATTAATAATAATCCACCACAATGATCGAGGCATTAGTTGTCAATGTGAAAATACAGTTTTAGTCAAGATTATTTAATATGGGACTTATAGAACTTTACATGTGCATCGTACCTCCATTTTTAAAATCCTTATGTTCACTGAAAATTCAATGGGAAGATACAGACAATCATGTTTTGTAAACTCACCATGCATGTATTTCAAAACTAATATTACAACTAAAGATTTGACGACATTCAAATCTTCATGACACTGAAGTGCAGAGTCTCACTGCTACTACTGAAAACAATAATAAAACCGCGTAAAGATTAATTAATTAATTAATTAATTAATATAATACTATAATTATAACTATAATTGTAATCACACATATTTAGGTGTGAGGTGTAGCTCACTTTAGTTTGTCGACTTTATTTTTATAGGATCTAATTCTCTAAAATAAAGAGAAATATAAAATTAAAAACAACCATTGATGATTGATGTAAAATTAGTTGTATTCATAAAATAATTTAATTTAAATTAATAACAAAAAAATATTTTATTATTTATAAATATTTATTTTCTTATTTTATGCATTCATTCATTTTTAAAAAATATTTCAATGTGTATCAATGGTGCATGTTAAAAAAAATAAAATAATAAAATAAAACTATTTATTATGTTAAAATCATGACAAATATTTAATACTACATATTTTTTTATGATAATTCAAAATATTTAATGTACTACACTTAATACATTTTAACATGTGTCATTAAATACATGTCTTAAAATAATCGTTTTAGAAAAGCTAAATCCCTTTTATTCAACAGTGACAATGAAGTTTAAACTTAAAATTATAGTTACCCTTTGATTTGTGAGTCGGCTTAATGATTTGGGTTTATCTAATATAATTCTAAAAACATGGATGATGCTAGAATTCAAAAATATTCAAAACCGTGTTATATGGAAAGAGTTAAGATACACCACAGAATTTGGCTACAATATCTTTATATTTGTGAGTCATCTTACTTGTATCTTATGAAAATAATAATATCACGTTTATAACCAGTTTAGGTACGTTTATTTTATTGTAAATTATTGGAATAAAAAATTAATTTTCATATATAATATTCATTTTATTTAATCAATTTGATACTTTATATAATTATTAATGTGAAAAATTTTATTTTTTATAAAAATAATTTAAAATACATAATTAATACAAAATATCTTTTTTATTTTCAAAAATTAAAAATTATTGTTATTATTAAATATTTTTAATATAAGTTATTTTTTATTCTCTTTCTTATTCTTCATCCAAATTAGAAATTATTTTTATTATTCCACATGACCTGTCTTAGATTCAGTTTTTAATTTTCTTTTTTATTATTTATTTCTTAATTTAAAATTTGTTAATTTGATATTAGTTAATATAAAATTTTATCGTTAATTATTTAATTTATAAAATTAATTAAATTTAAAAGAATTATATAATATTATAAAAAAAATTAATTTAATAATACCTGTATAATATATAGAATTGACTAATATATTTATATTTTAAGGGCCGGTTTTAGTTTCGACTTCAGATCATCACAAATGTACTCGTATGACGTTACGTATTACGTATGCACAGTATATATATCCTGCTCATATCGTATGCAAATACATCACACTTTATTAATTTCGTTTTTAAGGACTTGCAGAAAAACAACGTCTGCCATTGCTATGGATCAGTAGAAAATAATTTCAATTTACTAAATTAAAGAGAGTGATCAAATGATTTAAGTAATATTGATAACTGAATCATTCACTTACGATTAGATTACAAGTTCAAATCATGATATAACTTTTTTAAGCAATCGTACACTAATAGATAGTTGATGTTTCATTTTTTAAACAAAATTTTAGACAAAAAACTTTCATTCAAAGTGACACAAAATTTTAGGTAAAAATTATTGTAAATGAATTTCAAATGGAATTCGGATGAAATAAAAACAAAAGGAACATTATAACTTTTTAAAAAGATATTCCAAATTCTTCTAATTTTTCAACAAATTTGAGAAATAAAATTTACTTTAGTTTTTAACATTTATAAAAGTAAATAAAAGATTCCTTATGCTATTTCTTCTAATACACTACATTTTATTAATCTACCATCTTATAGCTTTAATTTTCCTTCCAAAATTTAACTCCAGACATACTTTTTGAAAGTACCTAAAACACTATATTTATGATTTAGCATAAATAAAATTGTACATATAATTTTTAAAAATTATATTACACAGTTTGTTTATTAATAAAATAAAAGGTTTGTCCTATTGAATATGTTTATCAATTGATAAGATGTTGTTTTAAATTAACATATAATCTTAAATTTAAGTTTAAGTAAATTTTTATAAGTCAAATGAAGAACTTTATTATTTATAGTGATATATCTGAGTTGAATATGATTAGTTTTAGTAAAAAAAGATACATGTGATATAAAAAAATATGCTTGAATCAAAAATAGAATAAAGTAAGTGATGGAAATGATGAAAATGCAAAAGCCACCAGCATACAAGTGCCTGCAAGAGTGCATATATGTGTAGAGAAAGAAAATCAAGACAAAGATATACTACAGTGATCCAAAATGGATCTTTCTAGTTGCCTCATTGAGCATTACTGGTAATTAAGTTTACATGATATTCCATGCAACTAGTTAATTAATGACTTGATACAACACATGCTACATGGAGAAATAGCATAAGCTCCTTTCCTAGTTTTGCATAACATGAGAATTCAAATGTTGATTGAATGCATGAAAAAAGTTATGCTCATTTTATTTTTTATTTTTTATTTTTTGGCTTAAAAGAATTAACCTCTAACTTTCGTCTAGAAAATATATTTTTTTAAAAATGTACTCCTAGGTATATATGATACAAAAAATTCATAGTCATGATACTAGCTATGTTTTTGAATCAGCTTTTCCGTGATACAATCAACAAGACCAGGTATACCTGATAGTTCAGTTTTCAAACATGCTTATCAATGTATTAAATGAGAATAAAAAATTTACTTTTAAAAAATTGATGTCTAATTATTTGTCACAAAACACCTTATTTTAAGAGAGAAAAAAAATGATTTTAATTACCGTGATACATAACTTCATAGTCGACATACTATATATATAAAGCACCCTTTCCGTTCCAAAATAAATAAAAAAATTATTCAAAATTATTTGTCACCGAAAAACATTTATTAATTACTTTTTTTTTCAACTTTGCTCTTTTCTTCCTAGATTTAGTACAACTCGATAACTATTATTTTTTAAAAAAATATATAAGATATTAATAACATGTATTCTATATATAGTCATATCTTTGTAATAGAACTTGGTAATTTTTATTCTTATCTTATGTGCATCAACAAGCCGGTAGCAAAATGTGGGCAAAGAAAAGGATAACCTCTTAAAAAATGTTGTGGGTATGAGGATTATGCTGTAGACTTAGATACCAATCGTCATTAATGACGCTTTTAGAGATCCATTATTATAAATTAAGTCAAACATGTGATTTTCCACAGCCAAAATGCTACTCCACCCATCTTATAACAAGCCTCCCCACATGGAATCAAGAATCACAGAACCCTGACCTTTCTTTTTTAGTATGCTTTTGGCCCCACCACTCCACACTTCCAAGCTCTCGCGCACTTTCTGGTGCCTATAAAATCTATGATATCGTTGCAACGTTGAATGATAAGGCCACTTAGAGGGTCTTAGAAGCAAGGCAGAAGAAGCCACACTCTTGTACTTGTGTTTACAGAATCTTATTGTTGGTTGTTTCTAAGGGAAATTTTAGTAAGGGTGGCAAATGGGTGGGGATCAGAAGAGTGATGTTTCCATGGTTGGAAAGAAGAACAAGAGGAATGGTTCTTTTCGGTCCATTTTCATGCATGCCGATGGCATAGATTGGTTTTTCATGATTTTGGGTGTTGTTGGGGCCGTTGGTGATGGCTTAGGCACCCCTCTTGTGTTGTTTATCACTAGCCACATTATGAACAACATTGGTGATTTTTCTGGCAGCATAGGCAGCACTTTCTTGCATAGCATCAATAAGGTTTCTCTCTCTCTCACTAGTTCAACTCGATCACACGCACAAATTATAAATAGATAAATATTATAATAATAATAATAATAATAATAATAATAATAATAACTCATATTTTTACACATTTTTTCTCACATTTATTTTTTTTCTTTTTATCACACCACATATCATATATATCTTTATTTTTTCTTTCTTCTTTTTATTCTCTCGCGTACCCCTTCTGACACCCCGTCTTCAGGAATCAAAGAATCATCTCCAGAAATAAAGGGGGGGGGGTGTTAATTATTTGATTTGGCTTTATTGATTTGTGAAATTGTGATGCAGAATGCCAAGGTCTTGTTATATTTGGCTTGTGGGTCCTTTGTGGCTTGTTTCCTTGGTGAGTTTCACTTTTGTAATGATTTTGACTTTGACTTAGCTTTCATTTGTATGATATAAAACTATTAACATTGTACTGCTTTCACTTTGGGGGATTTTAGAGGGTTATTGTTGGACAAGAACAGGTGAAAGACAAGCCGCAAGAATGAGAGCAAGGTATTTAAAAGCAGTGCTAAGACAAGAGGTTGCATACTTTGATTTGCATGTCACAAGCACATCTGAGGTCATCACCAGCGTCTCTAATGACAGCCTCGTAATTCAAGACGTTCTTAGTGAAAAGGTGTAAAAAAAAGCACAACTTTTTTTTTTTTATGAAGTTACTACAAATTTGATATCAACAAAGCTTAAATCAATTTTTTTACATCCTTGTCACAATTTTTTTTTTATGCACTTGTCACAAGTTCTTTAAATGATACATGATTCATTAATAATATAATGCAAGGTTTAAAAGCATACTTTTTTACATAACATTATTTAATTTAAGAACTTAATGTTAATACATAAGTGTTGTTTTCTAATTACATTTATGACATTACTAATTTTTTTATTTCAACTTGAAACTAGGTTCCAAATTTTCTTATGAATGCCTCCATGTTTGTTGGAAGCTATATAGTGGCTTTTGCGTTATTATGGAGATTGGCAATTGTGGGGTTCCCTTTTGTGGCTCTGCTAGTGATTCCTGGTTTTATGTATGGGAGGACATTGATGGGGTTGGCGAGCAAGATAAGAGAAGAGTATAATAAGGCTGGTACAATAGCAGAACAAGCAATATCTTCCATTAGAACTGTCTATTCTTTTGTGGGGGAAAGCAAAACTATAGATGCTTTCTCTGATGCTCTACAGGGATCTGTTGAATTGGGGTTGAGACAAGGCTTAGCAAAAGGCTTAGCCATTGGAAGCAATGGTGTTGTCTTTGCTATTTGGGCTTTCATGTCCTATTACGGTAGCAGAATGGTCATGTACCATGGTGGTAAGGGTGGGACTGTATTTGCAGTTGGAGCAGCCATAGCTATCGGTGGATTGTAATTTTACCTACCTTTTACCTCAATTCTTTTGAAAAAACTTTGATAACAATATACTTCTGATGTACCATTTCAAATACATTTTTCATCATTAGCTAAAATTTATTAAAAATTATAAAAGTTACACGAGTCTCACTCGTACTTTTATAATTTTGAATAAACTTCAACTAATTATAAAATCTTTTAAAATAAATATGCTAGAGAGCATACTCTTAGTATTATTTATACAATTCAGGTATTTTTTGTGTTATTTTACAATTAAAACTAAGTTTCACCTTTTTAACTAGGATGACTTTTAATATTGACTTTTTATATCTCAGGTGAAACTTTAATTTTAATTGAATAACAACCTTAAAAATACATAGTATATTTAAGGTTTGTGCTTTTGTAATTGTAAGTTTAAGTGAAACTTTTTTTATACTATTTTCTTTGTGAAACAGGGCATTAGGTGCTGGTTTATCCAACGTTAAGTACTTCTCAGAAGCAAGTACATCAGGAGAACGAATAATGGAAGTAATAAAAAGGGTTCCTAAGATTGATTCTGACAATATGGATGGAGAGATTCTAGAGAATGTTTCAGGAGAAGTGGAATTTGACCAGGTTGAATTTGTATACCCATCAAGGCCAGATAGTGTTATTCTAAATGATTTTTGTGTTAAGATTCCAGCAGGGAAAACAGTGGCCTTAGTTGGAGGGAGTGGCTCAGGAAAATCCACTGTGATAGCACTTTTGCAAAGATTTTATGACCCTATTGAGGGAGAGATACGTCTTGATGGTGTGGCTATTCATAAGTTGCAACTCAAATGGTTGAGATCTCAAATGGGTTTGGTGAGTCAAGAACCTGCTTTGTTTGCAACTAGCATTAAGGAGAATATACTTTTTGGAAGAGAAGATGCCACTGAAGAAGAGGTCATGGAAGCTGCCAAAGCTTCCAATGCTCATAATTTCATTTCACAATTGCCACAAGGTTATGATACTCAGGTTAGTGCCACTTGCCATTACTCTAATATATTAGTAGTTATGTTATTTTCTTTTTATTCTATTTTTTTATTTTTAAATATTTGTGTAGGAACTATTAAAAAAAATTTCCCTCTTAATCATCCTTAAATGACAGCAAGGATAATATAGAGTGACAACATTCATATAACAACATATAAACTTTGTCCTCTTAATGACCCTTAAATATAGCTTTTCACCAATTTTGCCGTAGATCCCATTGAATTTTGACAAGGATATTATGGAGTGACATTAATGATTATTTGATTTGATAATGGCCTACACCCATATGACACGTGTTTATATTAACTAATAATTTTGTATCACAAAGAAAACAACTAATAATTTGGTGGTCCACGTACATAAAGTATATCATCTTTCCATTCTTCCAAATTGCTTACCAGCAAATGGTTTTTAAGAACAGATTCAATGCATAGCCGGCATCTTGACCTTGCTATTTTTTGTTGTTTAATCAAATCATTACCGCATAGCATTTTCTTTCATAACAATATCTTAATACAACTCATGACGATCCAAATTACTAATTGGAAACAAAAACATTATAAAAATAATGTTAAAAAGATACCAAGATTACATACTATATATAGGAATCAATTAAACTTGTACATGAAATATTATTTTATGCTAAAAAAATAGCTACTCCTTACACGTAAGTTAGGACTAATTAAACCAGAAAGAACATGATTCACGTAGTTGAAGCAGTATAAGAAACATTGTTGATTGAATTGTTCCCATTATAATATAATAATTTTATTTAAGAAACTATAACAGCTCACCTGTGCTTTCTGCCGTTAGGAGACAAACTTATGTATCTGCTATTTGTATAATATCAGTTCTCGTGTAATGGTTTTTAAATTTAAAAGTTTTTAAACAAGTAAGTATATTTTTTTTCATATTTTTTTAGAAATAATTTTAAAAATTATTTTTTTCTTAGTCAAAAAGCCACTAATACATATCTAGTTATTTAACAAAAATGCAAAATAACTTAAGCCAAATATAGAAGGATATCAGTCATTGACTATCACTAAATAAATAAACAATGACTTACACCCTTTCCACATGTTCTCTGCCTCTACCATGAATATGCAATTGATTAATAAACTTATTCCGCCCCTTCTATTATTATATAATTCATGACAACATTTTCTAATAATTAATCATTCGATAGAACCTGTCCCACATACTACTGAATCTCATATAAATATAATGTTGCCAATATATTAGCATTAGTGAGCATAATCTTAGCTTTAGTGTGCTCTTAATTGTTTTTTTTTTTTTAGATTTTACTTTTAGTTTTTCAAAAAAATTATTTTTTAACTCAATGTTTTTTATCTTTAAAGATGCGTAACTTACTAAAAGACTAATATATATTAACTTTTTATGGACTCCATTATCATTAGGTAATAAAATCATTAGGAAATAAAAGCATTGAATTTTTAAAAAGTAAAACAAAATAATAAGAAACTAAAATCAAAATTTTACAAAAAAACATATTTAAATCGCATATTATTTATGTAAAAAGAATTATAATGGATTAATAATGTATTAGCCTATAGCACACTTATAGGTTAAATACATTAAGATGCTACAAGAGTATTTCCTTTGTTACCTTAAAACATTCATTGATTGTAAAATGCTTTCGTAATAAGATGAAATTTACTCTAATTAACTATCATTTCATGGTTACAGGTTGGAGAGAGAGGTGTTCAAATGTCAGGGGGACAAAAACAAAGAATTGCTATAGCACGAGCAATAATAAAAAAGCCAAGAATTCTTTTGTTAGATGAAGCAACAAGTGCACTAGATTCTGAATCTGAAAGAGTTGTGCAAGAAGCTTTAGACAAAGCAACAATAGGACGCACAACCATTATCATTGCACATCGATTATCCACCATTAGAAATGCAAATGAGATTGCTGTTATGCAAAGTGGGAAGATCATGGAGATGGGATCACACCACGAACTTATCCAAAATGAAAATGGTCTTTACACTTCACTAGTTCGCCTCCAACAAACTGAAAAACCAAAAAATGAACAACAGGATACGCTTTCTCACTCTCATCCTTCATCTATATCAAACAAAGACAATCACAACACAAGTAGTCGAAGACTATCTCTTGTAAGTCGATCTAGCTCAGCTAACTCAATAGCTCGTGTTTCACTTGGTGGTGATGATCTTGCTGACGATATTGTAGAAGATAAAAAGCTACCAGTTCCCTCATTTCGAAGGTTACTAGCATTAAACATTCCTGAGTGGAAGCAAGCATGTTTAGGGTGTTTTAATGCAATCTTGTTTGGTGCAATTCAGCCTGTGTATGCATTTGCAATGGGGTCAATGATATCTGTTTATTTTCTCACTGATCATGATGAGATAAAAAAGAAAACGAGGATATATTCACTTTGTTTCTTAGGGTTGTCTATATTCTCATTGGTTGTTAATATCTTCCAACATTATAATTTTGCTTACATGGGAGAGTACTTAACTAAAAGGGTTAGAGAACGAATGCTTTCCAAGATACTCACTTTTGAAGTTGGATGGTTTGATCAAGATGAAAATTCCACAGGTGCTGTTTGCTCTAGACTTGCAAAGGAAGCCAATGTGGTATGTATTAGTTATTACTTATTATTTTTGCTTAAATGTTTTATGCACTATTGCACATTTTGCATTTTTGTTTTGTACATACTATATAAAGGAAAAATAAAATAAAACAATGCAATGTGTGAGATTCTTTCGATTAGCACCAAAATTGCAAAATTATGAGGTTTTGTGGAGGTTGAGGTTGTCTTATGGTTTGCAAATTTCCTTTCATTGTCTTTCATTTTAACTGAAAATGGCCATTTTCATAATAGTATTTTATTTTTTTTTAGTCATTGTATTGTAATTGTCATATAATAGGTTATGTATCTATCTATCTATAACTAAAATTTAACCTGTGCCTTGTGATTTCTGACTTAATTCTTGGCATTTGTTTTTACAATTTTGTTTTCACCTATGCTATTTCACATCACAGGTAAGGTCTTTAGTGGGAGATAGAATGGCTCTAGTGGTGCAAACTATTTCTGCTGTGGTGATAGCTTTCACTATGGGCCTAATCATTGCATGGAGGCTTGCCATTGTTATGATAGCTGTTCAACCCATTATCATAGCCTGCTTCTACACAAGACGTGTTCTTCTTAAAAGCATGTCTAGTAAGGCCATTAAGGCCCAAGATGAAAGTAGCAAGATAGCTGCTGAAGCTGTTTCGAACCTTCGAACAATAACTGCCTTTTCCTCCCAAGATAGGATCCTCAAAATGCTTGAAAAGGCCCAAGAAGGCCCAAGTCATGAAAGCATTCGACAATCATGGTTTGCAGGCGTTGGGCTTGCATGTTCCCAAAGCCTCACATTTTGCACCTGGGCATTGGACTTTTGGTACGGTGGAAAGCTTGTTTTTCACGGGTACATCAGTGGAAAAGCATTATTTGAGACTTTTATGATCTTAGTAAGCACAGGTAGGGTTATTGCAGATGCTGGTAGCATGACTAATGACCTTGCCAAAGGAGCTGATGCTGTGGGCTCAGTTTTTGCAATCCTAGATAGGTACACAAAAATTGAGCCTGATGATATTGATGGGTACAAGCCCAAAAAATTAATAGGAAAGATAGAACTTCATGATGTCCATTTTGCATACCCTGCTAGACCTGATGTAATGATTTTCCAAGGATTCTCAATCAAAATTGATGCAGGCAAATCGACAGCATTGGTAGGACAAAGTGGTTCAGGCAAATCAACAATCATTGGCTTAATAGAGAGATTCTATGACCCACTAAAAGGGATTGTGACCATAGATGGTAGAGACATAAAATCATATAATCTTAGGTCACTAAGGAAGCACATTGCTCTTGTAAGTCAAGAACCAACATTGTTTAGTGGGACCATAAGGGAAAATATTGCCTATGGAGCATCTAATAAGATTGATGAAGCTGAGATCATAGAAGCATCAAGGGCAGCCAATGCTCATGATTTCATTGCAAGCCTAAAGGATGGTTATGACACACAATGTGGAGATAGAGGAGTACAACTCTCTGGAGGTCAAAAGCAAAGAATTGCAATAGCTAGAGCCATATTGAAGAACCCAGAGGTGTTACTGCTTGATGAAGCCACTAGTGCCCTTGATAGCCAATCAGAGAAATTGGTGCAAGATGCTTTAGAAAGGGTCATGGTGGGGAGGACCAGTGTAGTGGTAGCTCATAGGTTGAGCACAATACAAAATTGTGATCTAATTGCTGTGTTAGACAAGGGAAAGGTGGTGGAAAAAGGGACTCACTCATCTTTATTGGCAGAAGGACCAAGTGGAGCTTATTACTCTTTGGTCAGTCTTCAAAGAAGACCAACCAATATGATTAGTAATTCTACACAAGAAATTAGCTAACCGCACCAAGTTGCCACATCTATTTGAGATAACCATAAAACCTCTTTTTTGGGTTTGAGGGAAGATAACCAAAGAAGAATGATAAGGCTATCATGGTAATCAGTGAAAGGTAAAGTAAGCAAAAAAGAAGGAAAAGGAGAACCTGTGTGATAGTTGTTATCTCCCCAAACTTATTAAAATTTCCATGTTACATGTTTATATTGTATGATAATTATATTTTTATTTGGCTTAGCTATATGTAGTCTTTAGTTTCCACTCATGAAATTAAAATCTCGAGTTTTAATCAAAATCTTGTGTTTGCCATTAAAACTAAGAAAGTTAGGGAAATGAAACTTTTAGGCTATTGCATTAATAGGTCTAGTGCTATTCATGTTTAAAGGTGTGTATAATTAATTACATATAAATGGATAAAAGTTCAACTGTATATGCATGTATGTAATAAAAGTTTAACAAATATATGAAAACTTTTATTATATGACATCACGAGCTCCATTTAGATAATACATTTACGAATGTTTAAATTACATAAAAATTTAATATACATCATTATAAATATTATATAAAATATTTAATACTTAAATTTATTAATATTATATTTTATCAAAATTATTAAATAATATAACTATCTAAGTTTCATCTAAGGCGTGTTACAGCTCACTCAATTAAACCTTTAATACTTTAGATGGGTTCAAAGGCCTTAGTTTAGCAACCAAGCACTTTGTTGAAAATTCTAATGCATATATTTTGTAATTTAAATGCTATGTAGGTTTTATTTTTCATGAACAAGTTGATGGCAACAACTTGAGAAGTGTAATGCATGGTTCACAACAAAAGGAGGGTGATTTGCACAGTTACATGACCCAATGTGTAATAGCCATTCAAAAGGCAACCCACAAATGTTAATGGTTGTTTCAAGTTCGAATTATAACACTGAGTTTCAAATCTTAAAGAGAGAATATCTGAACATAGACGTGTTAAAATAAATGGAAAATAAAATATATGTGAACTTTGCAACCATTAAATAAGATTTGTGCTAATAGCATTAACATGTTGATTATTCTACCAGACAACTTCCCAGACTCGAGACATCCCTTTATTCTTTTATTATTTTTTAATTCTTTTGTTTCATCTAAATACTTTATTTGGTTCTCTTAATCATCTTGTTTAAGTTAAAATTTGTTCGCATCATCTATTGATTAGAGTCAACATTTTGTTTGGGCTTCATATTATAATATGGATTTTAATTGTAGCCCAAACTTTAAATCCACGTTTACAATCAAAATCTGGGCCATGTTGCTTTCATAGCATAATGTTTTGGGCTTCAGGATGTGATAATTCATTAGATTAAGCTCAAATTGGGCCAAATGAATTTTGAACTAGTTTTTAAAATTCTTTTAGGGCATTTGTATATGACTTTAATTTGAGCTTCACTCATTCGGCTGATATGGGATCAGAGGAATAACATATATACAATAAACTATAAAATTAATAATAAAGTATAAACAAATAAATAAAAAAGATAGGAAATAAAAATCATTGAACTTTCATTTTTATATATGCATGTTTTGTTTTTTTATTTACCTTTTATTTAACCGTATGTATTATTTTAGTTGAACTTAGTTGAACAGTGTTACGTGAACATGTTACATATTATATCATTAAGCTTTATTTTTCAATAAAAAATCATTTATTGTTATATTTATTTTTCTTAAAATTTAGAGTTAACGTATTTGAAACTATTTATTGACTCTTTTTTAAAAAAAAAGGGATCACTTTAATAAGGACAACTTGATGGATCATATTTTATAACTTTTAAATTATTATATTTACTTTTTAATTAAGATTATGGGGTTGATTAAGGTTAGACAACTTATCAACTCCTGATTTCTAAAAAGGGACACTTTAACTATGAGAGCTTGATGGACCATGTTTTATACTTTTTAATTTTGTTATTATATTTACTAATTAATGATTTTATTTACCTAAAACAACTTACTTGATTATAATTTTAAAAATTGCATGCAGGTTTTTTTTATTTCACGATTAAAATTAAGGGTTTAGGTTAGCTAAGATATTTTATTTCGACTACAACAACTGAAAGATAACTTTTAGATATAATAAAGCCTGTCAAAACCAAAGATCTAAGAAATAAAATAAAAGATAAACTTCTTTTTGATTTCTTAATTATTTTATATAGAGAATAATTTCTAAGAAGTTTTATATGGATCCAACTATTAATGAATTTTATAATATAGAAATACAACATGCTGAACTTCGATAAAGATATATAAAATGTAGTGATGTTTTTAAAATTAATGTATATTTAAGAAATTGCCAAAGTTTAATTAGCATAAATACTTTGTAAATCCACCCCTGCATACTGGTATACTTGAAAAGTCTCGTATACATGTATATGACACACTACAATACATACTTTAAAAATATAAAGAGACTAAATGTAAAATATTACAAAGTTTATATATAAATTAAAGTGTAAAAATATAATTAAACCTTTTTAAAATAAAATAATGATTCATTGTATTGTAATTCATTATTCAGTTAACAAACGCACCCTTTTATAAGATTGTTGAGTTTCTTAAATTCAAAATATTTACTTAAGTTTGACTAGTGTCAGTGCAAGTGTTTTACTTCATGCATTTTGCAAATCTTGTATAAATTGTTTGAATTTAACTATAATTGTCTTTTTTTATTTATGATAACAAGTTGTTTGTGAGATTCTACAAATGAAACTAAGTATTATATATATTGAAATGTCACGAGTGAAGAAAACATGGAGTGAAAATAGACTAGTCTTGGAAAATAAAAAGATTTATTTCATAATTCTATTTTGTGTTTTTGATTATTTAATCAATATTAAATTATTAGTTGCATGTGTTGTTATGCTTTTGTTTTCGAGTTAGATGGACTTTCATGATTTTTAATTATTTATTTGGCTACTCAGAGAAGAAGATACAAAAACTTCAACTAAGCTTTAGAAATATGTGACTTACGAGTTAGAAATATCTTTCTAATTTATTGTTCCATCTTATTATATATGATTTTCATCTTGTAATAATTAAGTTTCATAACTAATAATAATAATAATATCAACATTAATAATTAAATTCAAATTTAACAGGATTTTTTTGTTCAATGGTCATTCCAACAGGTTAAAAATCTTTTTAAAAAATTATTTTAAAAATTCAATTTAAATGCACTGATAATATAGATATTTTTATTTTAATTAATTAATAATGTAATTTTTTTTATTTTTGTTTAAAAATTTATAAATTAATAATATATTTTACATATACTATATTTTTATTATTTATTGCATGAAATTTTGAATTAAGAAATTTGATTAAGTAATTAAAAATTATATTAAATAAATGTGAGTAATTAATTTTTTTAAAAACAATATCGTGCATAAATTAGAGTATGAAAAATAAAAAAGTAACGAATTCTAAAGAGCAGATGCCTACACGGCAAATAAACCAATGTTGTGCGATAATCCGAATTAAATAAATATCAACTTAACATATCTCTTTTTTCTCCAAATAAAACTTAAAAATACGTATTATTATTTAAAATACACCTGTTATTTTCTTTATTATTATTAAAATAAATTTAAATTCTCTTATATTTTATATTTATAATTTTTCTTACTTATTAAATAAAAATAATAAAAAACCAATAAAAGTTATTATAACTTAATCGATAATTTTAAGTAAATATAATTATATTAAATATTTGAAACGAGAGATCGAAATATTATTTAATTTAAATATAATTATCTTTAATAAAAAATATGTGTGACTCAGGAAAAGATAAAAAATGTTACATACTTTTTATTTTTAAATAATAAATATACTTTTTATTTAGTATTTAGTTTAACAGTGATGTGAAAACCGTGAGCCCAAACACATTTAAGGGAGATAAGGAAACTACCAAAACGCAAAACGCAAGTTATTATATTTTATGGTAATATAATAACCAATAAGTGCCCATTTGCAAAAAGACTAAATTTTGGGGACTTCTATAATTAAAATTAAAAAATTACTATGGCCTTACTTTTATGGTTAACTTTTTAATATACAGTAATTTTTAATTGAATTAAAATAAAAACATTTACTGTATCATTTTTAAGCTTTATTTGAAAAAATATAGAATCTATCATGATGTAATTTTAATATAAAATTTATTATTAAAATTAATTTGAACACACGTTTCATTTGTATACAATAGTCCATCAATTAATATTACTTATTTTTAAAACAAATACTCAAAATTAATAGTGTGTTTAAAATTTAAGTTTTGAAAGAAAAATAAAACTAGTATATAACTTCATTTAAGCCATATAAAATTATTATAGATGACAAAACTTTCTTTTTAAATGTTTAATATAATTACATATTTTATTTTAAAATAAATACTTAAAATCAGTCTTTAATTTTTAAAATAATAAATATAAATCCATATTCAGAACTTTTACGTGCATGTTATTTGGATTAAATTATGGTGTAATTAAAAGCTAAGAAGAAACCATGGGCTTGGATGAAGCGGTTAAAGACCCGCCCCGGAAAAAAACTTGGAAGGAAGCCTCCGAAAACACGCACATAGCAATTCATCGCTCGTTCTTCACATAAATCACCTTTTCCCCCTTTCTAATGTTTTATTTTTTGTTTCGTTTCTGACTCTCAAATTTTGAGTTTTGAGTTTTCAGAGTTTGCACGTACCACCGCTTCTCTGCTTCACCCTTTTTCCCACCCCAAAATCTCTCTCTGCAAATCTCGCTTCTACTGTTTCTGTCTCAATTCCTTCTTCTAACTTAACAACGCCTGAGAGGGACAGAGACACAACAAACCTATTTTTCTTCTCGTAACCTAACTTCTTGTTCTGTCCGATCAAACCCTTCACTGTTTTTTATTGTTCTCTTTTGTTCCTTGGAGATCTACTCCACTTGTTTTCCAGCAATTTTTCTTAGGAAAATCTGGGAAACTGGTAAAGATTATTTCTTTTTCCCTTTTCACTTTCTGGGTCTTCTTCCCATGTGCTCAATTCATTGTTCTCTTTGTATCATGTTTTGAATTGGTGTTCTTTTAA